TTTCGAGTAGAAATCCTTGCGGACCCGCAAATCTTTATGCAGGCCTTGCCAGGCTTTGTCAATACTTGCCTGAAAGCAGCATCAGATTACTAGACCCGACCTTTATTTCATGAATGAGCAACTCCTGTCCAACCGGTCCAACCGTTTCGATCGTGATAAATGTTCAGTCTATAAAGTTATAAACGGATTATGCAATTGATCATCAATCGGTAGACTACGTCCAACTACAAGCTGATTACTGATTATGATTTTAAACCGTTTTTTGCCCGTCAATAAGAGCTGTATTTACACAATAGTCCTTTGTTAAACCTTATTACGTTAATAGGACATAATGAATACATCATATAAAACCCACGAACTGTTTTCTTCTGTCTTCCATTGTTAAAAAAACCCCTACTCGAATGTACGATCATGCGACGCACTCGATTTGTAGTTTAGAGGTAGCACAACGGCTTGCTTATATACTAAGGGAGGAAACCTATAGAAAATTTAAGTCAGCAACCCTACATAATACATCCCAAATATCATGCATCATATACCATGTTACGGAGGGTCGCCACGATGTCGTTCACGTCCTTAAATTACCTTAGCAGTTAATAGGACGTTAAACAAAATAAAACCAAACCAAACCACGATGTCGTCCAGTGGAGTTGCCCACTAAGTTTTCAGCCTCACATTAGCGTTTGTTGGATCAAGAAAATAATTATTTTTTAGGTTCAGGCGGGTCGCAATGACCGTCCGGCTGACTTGTCATGAACAAATGTCGAGTTTTCAGAATTGTCGTTGAATGATATAAAGAAATTTAAAAAGGAGTTGAGTCTGTTAGTGTATCTATTTATTTACAATGTAAGAAAATAACAACGCATGACGAGGGGGAGAAAACGTTTCACAACAAGCTTCACGTTTCTATCATTTCTGGCCCTGTGGGAAGTTGTCCTATTTTCTTAATTTAGCCTGGATATGGAAAGATTTCCATTTGCAGTCGCCATTTGGGCTACTGACGATACACAATAAACACTGAGGTCATGATTTATGCCAGATGTTTATTCCAATCAATCAAATCCAACATCTACCGACATCGCTTGTCAACACATGAAATCAACATTTGACGGATTTACAAACACCTTCGCGGTAAGTTCAGCGGAACTTGACATTCTGACCGTGAGCTTGACAGGTTTTAAGTAGATCTAGAAGTTAAATAGGTGTTTTTGTTTGTCTGCTAGCAAATCTTCAAATATATACAAAATAAAATGCGGGTACCCTCATTCCACTAATTGACACTAGTCCTGCGACTCGCTTGTTTACCGGTACATTTGCGGGGTCACCCGTGCAAGTTAGGGGTCAAGACAGGAATACACCTCTATGGAACGCCAAATTAACATACAAATAAATTATCAATTGTACCTATCTTCAAATAATTGAAGATAGGTACAATTAATTGAAGATAGGTTTACAATGTATCTTCAATCTAACAGTACCTATCTTCAATTATTTGAGTTACCCACTGCATGTATCGTAAGAGGCGACTAATGCGGATACCCCCTGCAGAATTGGGGATTTGTTTGTATACCCTCTTCTTGGGGACACAAAAGCAACAAAAATAAATCTACTCCGCCTTTCGCACTATTTGGAATTTTATATTTTTCAGTCCAAGAGCCTTGCTTAGCTGTACCTCACTTTTGAATGTTCACTAAGGTAAGGAAGGCAATGGGTTTTGTCCCCAGGCCGAGATAGGTAGTCGCTATCCCCTGCTTATCGTTCAGCATTTTGAGTAATGACAACAACTGGTTTAACCCTTGTCAGTATAATGTAACCGGGCGGAATGCTGTGCTGTACGCCTTCGGCATGGTATTTCAGTGAGATGACACTATAAAGTCGGCATCAGATCTGCGCTATCTCAAGGAGGCACATACAACAACATACACTGCCTTCAGCACACCTACACACATGCACGCATCCACAACACACATGGAGGCACGTCTTTAATTAAGTGACCTTAGCTGTTGATATGACGTTAAATCATGTACAATCAACGGACCAACCAACATTTGCGGGTGAGGCTTTTAGAAGAGCGTCGGTCTGTTGGAAAATAATACAGTCACACGCATGCTCAACCGTCCAATTATCCATGGTTATTTAACCAATGAAATGTGTCGTTGTATGGTCGAATTTATTTTAGTTCATACGAACCTTCACCCTCACGATTAGGACATGGTTAGAATTTCTGATTAATTGCGGAGGTTATAAACAGTTACATACCAGAAAGGTAGAAGAACCCATGGACATGTGAAATAATCGTTTTTGTTTGAAATTATCTAGAAATTCTGTATTTCTTTAGAAAAATTCCATTTTTTTATATATATAAAAGTATAAATGGAAATGTTGTTAGCATATGATATATAAAATAAAAGATAATGTCGTCGTTTATTAAATTGCACATACCGGTAACCGTTTCAATAAATACGGGTAAACCCTCGATATAATGTCCCTCATTTAATTACAGTAAAACCTCCATATAATGTCCCTCGTTTAATTACAGTAAAACCTCCATAGAATGTCCCTCGTTTAATTACAGTAAAACCTCCATATAATGTCCCTCGTTTAATTACAGTAAAACCTCAATATAATGTCCCTCATTTAATTACAGTAAAACCTCGATATAATGTCCCTCGTTTAATTACAGTAAAACCTCCATATAATGTCCCTCGTTTAATTACAGTAAAACCTCGATATAATGTCCCTCATTTAATTACAGTAAAACCTCGATATAATGTCCCTCGTTTAATTACAGTAAAACCTCCATATAATGTCCCTCGTTTAATTACAGTAAAACCTCGATATAATGTCCCTCATTTAATTACAGTAAAACCTCGATATAATGTCCCTCGTTTAATTACAGTAAAACCTCCATATAATGTCCCTCGTTTAATTACAGTAAAACCTCGATATAATGTCCCTCATTTAATTACAGTAAAACCTCGATATAATGTCCCTCGTTTAATTACAGTAAAACCTCCATATAATGTCCCTCGTTTAATTACAGTAAAACCTCGATATAATGTCCCTCATTTAATTACAGTAAAACCTCGATATAATGTCCCTCGTTTAATTACAGTAAAACCTCCATATAATGTCCCTCGTTTAATTACAGTAAAACCTCGATATAATGTCCCTCATTTAATTACAGTAAAACCTCGATATAATGTCCCTCGTTTAATTACAGTAAAACCTCCATATAATGTCCCTAGTTTAATTACAGTAAAACCTTCATATAATGTCCCTCGTTTAATTACATGAGCAATTCCGGCCTGAAATTCACGGGCTCGTGACCGAAGGGTTGCGGATTCGAGTCGAGTCACGGCACGGCACTGTGTTGTATCTTTGAGTAAGATACTTTACTCCGCTTGTTCCAGCCTACTTAGCTGTAAATGGATACTTGGTTGGGCAGTCCTAGAATTGATGAATACTAGCTGTGAGCGCCGAAATTGCAGCATCGGCTGTATGCTCCCAAGGGAGTTAAGAAAGATATTGGCTGGCTGCAAAGGCCATATAACCAAGGATAATAATTTATGAACCGCTTTGAGACGACCTACGAACTAGGTTATGATAAAGCGGTATATAAGAACCTTGAATTATTATTAAATATTAATTATATCACTATAACAAATTAAGCCCCTTTATATGATCACCGTTGTATTTTGTTAATTGTTTTATGTTGATCTTTATTCATATGAAGACGGGTGACTATTCTGAAGGGCCCAAAGTATTCATCTCGGACGATACACGATTGGACACAGCAAGTCTTTCCATTCCCCATCATGCACAGGTCTGTCCAATTAAATTAAAATTAGACTCTTAATTTCGCTCCTTGGCCCTCCCTCATCGCGACCAAAGCTTACCAATCTCCATCGAAACTCCCTCATTCAAGTCCAAACTGACACAAACTCAAAATCGAAATCCCGTGGTGAAATGGTCTCCTAGTTAGGTGCAAGGTGTGTGGAATTAATTAACGATCAAAACAGCTATAGGTGTGTCTGAATCAAATGAATGCTTATTTTTTGGAGTTATTTTGATACACAAAAAGGGAACGCTATATCGAGCAAAGCAATTTCAGTCCCGATTCACGCACTTTCTCCCTTGCGGTATTCTTAGTATTCTTCCATCATTGGAAATCTCGATTGAGATTGTTGCGATGCCTCTTATTTTTGCTTTACTCGCGTTAACTTAAAAACGCCTTCACTTCCGGTTGCGCGCATGCTTAATATGTAAAGTTTATTTACAGTTTATGTACACGTAATGTTTACTGTTTAATAAAAGGAAGCACTGAATTTCCTGGGATGAGTATTCCAGTGCTTGTTCAGTCGATGCTTGAACGTATTGATGTTTTCTGCGGAAACTACTTCATCTGTAAGGTTGTTCCATGTGTTGACAACTCTGTTGCTGAAGACATTTTTGCTGATGTTTAATCGGAATGCTTTTTTGTAGAGCTTTTTGGAGTGCCCACTTGTGGGGTTTACTTCCGGTGGTGCAAACATGTCGGGCCGTTTGACGATGTCAATCCCGTTCAGTATTTTGTATAGTTCTACCATATCTGCACGTTCCCTTCTGTATTCTAGTGTTGGTAGTCCCAATTTCCGTAATCTGTTGGTGTACGACATGTCCTTAAGTTGCGGGATTCTTTTCGTGGCTCCACGATATGAGGGAGATTTCCCTCATTGGAGGTTTCAGAAGTTGACACCTATGTCGATATTTCTAACGGTAACTGAGCCTGCATGGGTACGTTGCAGATGGAATATCTAGTTTACTTGACGAACTGTTAGCCTATTCTTCGTACATTTTCTATTTGGCTAATGTTTTGTGTGGTGTTTATAATTGGAATTATTCTTGTCATCATATATAAGTAAAGAGAATGACATTTTATGCATCATGCTGAATGCAGTCGACGAAATTATATTTACCCGCGCAACTCAACGCATGACCACGTGATAAACATCGCCATAGTGATTGGATTGTTGGAGCCGCCATGTTTGTTTTGGAATGTTAAGCTTCCATGTGTTAACCGACACTGTCTGTGCTAAAATGTAACATACATTGATAGTTGTGACAGACAATAGCTGTAACAACATCGAAATGGAACGGGAGTTGACAATTTCCCCGGATTTTGACGAAAATATACAATCCGATGGTGTAGATTCGGAGGATTCGGCAAATTCAACATCGAGTGAGCTCGGCAGGATCGGTGCAGGGTCTCGAGCGTCGGGTGCAGGCACGCCGACAGAAAGAGGTCTTGCAAAAACAAAAAGGGAGGAAGATATTATACTAAAAACAATTGAAGCAACTAAGGCTTTGGGGTCAAATACGCTGGATTTATGTCATAAAGGATTACTGCAAATTCCACATGAAATTTGGGAACTCTCTAATTTGGAGGTATTAAATTCATAGAGTCTATAGAAACCGGTTTTTCTTCCCGAAAATGACAGCTGTATAATAAAACAATTTCTTTATCTTGATTTCAGTGATTGTCCGTAAATGCCTTTTGATAGTCTACTGTTATTCAAACAATATATATGTTGCTTCACCACATGATAATACAACAACACATATAGTATGACACTGGCATGTTACACCAATATGGCCATCACTGCAGACACGAGGAACAAAATCACGAATATTTTTTCCTACAAAATAACGCACGAGCAAAGTTCCAGAAACACAAACATTCATTTCCAAAAACCAAGATCACGACACGGAAACGACCGTCTACTCTCTACAGACACATCTACTTATCCTAGCCCGAGTTTCCTCTGGTCCCGACACCAGATTTCAACATTTTGACAGATAGATGTATCTATATATACAACATAAAAGAATACATACACAAACGACATCATTTCTTATTCATCCCATTTTAAACCTCTTTTTATCCTATAGCAGAATACAAATAACAAAGCAATCACTGCGAATGATGGCTCATGCAACGCTGTACCACTCTCAATGTCCATTTATACATCAATATTGATTGAGGACTTTGTAAGAAAAGTCTAAAAACCACTTTATGAGAAAAGAATTGGCATTGCTTTGGATTTTGATCTGTTTTAGTTACTTATTATTGCCCTAAGTATGTGTATTACATTGCAGTTACTGTAGTATTCAATGCATTGCCTGTACTGTTTGAAATTTTTAATTTTACATCACCAAGTGCACAGCATTTTCTTTTTTTCATATTGACAGTACTTGTATCTGGAAGGAAATCAGCTATCAGCTTTACCTGATGATTTTTTTGACAAATTGCCAAATCTTGTGTGGTTGGATGTTCGACGTAACAATCTCCTTCGTCTGCCTAGTGTCTACACAGGACGCCATCAACATCTACGCTCTCTCCTGCTGGAAAGCAATCGACTCCGAAGCTTACCCTTAGAGTTGGGTAAGTAATGACAAATGTGTTGAAGGACAATTAAGTAAGGGTGGATAGTTAGGTAGAGTGGTGCCCACTGCTGTTTCTGACTTTTTCAATAAATACTTAAATGTTGACTGATACTCTAATTATGAAATTCAACACCCCTGTTTTTTCATGTAAACGAACTTACAAACCTAGGTAAGGTACTTAAATTCTGTAGTCTCATCAGGTCGCCCAGGTATGTACATATTTTGTTATACATATAATTTTTTACTAGTCCCGGCCCCTGACATATATATTTTGCAAGAACTTAGCATCAGGCTAGTGAAATGGGACTCTCCTGTAATTAATTGCCCTTATATAATTTACAGTAATACCTGGATATAACGCCCCTTGTTTCATTTGACACCTTGGTTATACCGCTAACATAATTCAATGCCTCTTTTCTCTCTTCTTAAGAACTCCATTATACATTTCCCTAAATTTATCGCGAAATATCTCTGTACAAAAGGCTGCAGTATAATGAGGTTTTACTGTAGTTCTAATTAATTAGAGTAGATAATTTTATAATCTAAATTCTAATCATCTTTTAAGCACAGATACATCGTAGGTAATTGAAGGCATTGTCTCGGAATGAAACAGTAACATTAAATAAGAATTCTATTTTCTTATGTTTCAGGTCTAATAAAAAGTTTGAATGGCTTAAATATCAGTAACAACCCTATTGAGTTCCCTCCGAAGGAAGTAATGGAGAAGGGAACAACGGCTATTCTCCATTTTCTACGGGAGATGCTGCATGCTAAGTCAACAGGAAAGATGACAAATGGGGGAAATGGTGTGTAGTGTTTCTTGTGATACAGTTTGATGTGTAACTATGTAAATCAAAATTAACTAAAGACTATCTTGAATTACACTGTGTATACCGGGGAGTAGAACCAGTTTTCGTTTTCTCCCTTTTACTAAAACACTGGTAAAATGCAGTTGTAAATTTCCTTGAAACCATTTTCATGTTTTTATTCTGCTTTTCCCTTGAGAGTTGCTATATTAGTACATTTTAATCTGTTGTAGTGAAGCTGTTGTCCAGTTTTTTTAAGTTAACCTATTCACCCATAAAGTCACATTTGAACCTTACTAAATCAAAGACTTGGCTAGTCCAGTTTAAATATGTAGGGGTGAATACCCATTCACCCCTACATATTTAAACTGGACTAGCCAAAGGTTCATGTAAATTAACCTATGTCTTGCAATTTTACTTTTAAAAAACAAATCACCTATATTCAGGTTATTTGGAAGACCATACAGTTCTGATGTGGTCAATTCACAATTATATTTAATGGTGGGGATAACTGACTATTTCATCTATAGAAATTCCACTTCAACCTTAGTATTTACATCCATATATCTATGGAATGTCAGCCAGCAGATCACTCTCATTGATTGAAAGCTTGATATATATACATATCTGTCAAATTTTCAAAATGCTGTTAGTCCTCTGTTTGCAAGTGCAACGGATGATATTGAATATCTCGCAGGATATAATATCTTTAAGTTTTTGTTTGCTGTAGGTGATGACGGTGCTGAAAATGACTCAAGTTCTAGTTCTGACGACTGGCAGGACGAAGATGATTTGCGGAATTATGCTCGACGTAAACACATTGGCAACATGGAGGATATGAAAAGTACGACCACTAAATCATCAGACATGTTCGGTGTGGTGCCCCATTCTGCGGAGCTCCATCGCCCAGTCAGTTACACAGAGATGAAACAGGAGAAAAAAGAAAAGTTACAGAAGGCTGGAGCGGCAGGCACCGTGGACAGGTATTTTACGACTGCTAACACATCTAATTAATATACAGATAACTTCTTAGGCTAAGTACAGTAAATTTTAGTTCTCTCATGATCTCACTACATGTCTTCAAAACTTGTACATCGACACATTAAAACAGTTGAGACAAACCTGGTTAACTCATTCACCCCTGAAGACACATTTGAACTCTTCCAATTCAAAGGTTGGAATAGCTCATTATGAAATTTCAGGGGTGAATGAGTTAACTCTTAACTCTTTCCGTACCGTTGTCGTGTACAGACGACAACCAAATGTGTTTCCTTGTCCCTGTTGTCATGTACAGACGACAACCAAATGTGTTTCCTTGTCCCTGTTGTCGTGTACAGACGACAACCAAATGTGTTTCCTTGTCCCTTTTGTCGTGTACAGATGACAACCAAATGTGTTTCCTTGTCCCTGTTGTCGTGTACAGACGACAACCAAATGTGTTTCCTTGTCCCTGTTGTCGTGAACAGACGACAACCAAATGTGTTTCTTGGTCATCCAAGTAATTATGGCTATTTTGCCAATCAGGTTAAAGTCTACTTGTATAATTCAGAAAACTAAACGATTTTGTAACCAAAATCAATCGGTATTGAGGACCCGCGCGATTTCTCAGTCATATTCAACTGCAAGTTAGTATTAATGCTATGAAAATTGATTGGTTCACGGTTACCTGTTCATTTCTAGCATTAATTTCACCACGTCTTAAAAATCCATTGATAACCCACCATTTTGTTACATGTGTAGGGGTTAGTCTTAAGTAATGGTATTTGGTACGTATTCCGGACCAGAGTTGTGGTACAGAAAGAGTTAAGAAGATTTTGTTTTAGAAAATTGCATCCATTCAGTGAGGTATACACTAAATGAATACCCATGATGTTGATATTATTCATTGTGATTCTTACAATGATGTACACATCAAACAGAGTCAATTTTATAAGATTGAGATTTCTACTGTAAGCACGGGGGAAACTTGTCCGTACAATTATTATGTTAGAGAAAATTTGTTAATGATAAAGTACAGCCTCAGTAATTTTATGGCAACAGTCCATTGACAGTGTTTTAGCATTGCTTTAGTGAATGGTGTGTGAACTACATACAAATCCCTGATATATGCACAATTTCAGGCTAGAATTTGGCACCACACATCGAAGGAAATGGTGGCGGTAATACTAAATCTTTGAAATTAAATAGTTAGGAATTTTGTTGCAGTATTTAATGCTTTAATGCTGTAATGAAATAGTTGGGAATTTTGTTGCAGTATTTAATGCTTTAATGCTGTAATGAAATCGTTAGGAATTTTGTTGCAGTATTAATGCTTTTATGTTGTAATGAAATAGTTGGGATACTTTTTTTCCATTAATCTACTTTTCTAGCATGAATGATATTGATAGAAATACAAGGCCTTGAAATATTCGTACGCTTTTATAAAGACACTGGCCGTTTGAGTGAATCATAAGACACATTTGTTTTTCTTAATTAATGAAAATATCATATAGGTAGCTAGTTGTAGAATACATCATCTCACAATTCGGTCCTTCTCTTTTTCTTTCTCCATTGGTTGTTTTAGATGTTTTTTAAGTGACATTATGCAATTAAAATGTATGTACTCCATTTCTACTCGAATATATATGATCATTTGTGTTATAATGTTTGTTTTTTCTTTTGAATTACTTTTCTATTTCTGCTTCATTTATCATTATCTTTTCATCTTTTATTTTTATGCATAACATATATATAAACCTTGACTATATAAAATTATTGAATATAAAATATTTTGGCTGTTTAGCTTATCAGTAGTTTCAATTATTTATAAGAATTGTACGTAGAAACACATCCATTTTTTCCTTCATTACTTTATCTTATCTCTTTGTTTTTCTTTTTTCTTCCTTTCTTTCTTTCCTTCTCTTCTTTTCCTGTGGTGTGTCCATCATGTAGTTACCAGCTGGATCTGAAGGAATTAATACCCTTCCCACAGTCCAGTTTCTACTCCGTCAGACAAACCCAAAGCTTTGTATCTCATATGCAGTGCAACAACAGGTACTCAAATAAATCACCACTACCCTGGCACCCATAGGCACTGCCCCTTGTCTGAGCATTGCTATTATTTTATGCCTTGTATGTATCAATGTATCAGACAACTTTTTGTATGCCAGCCAAAAGCAGGGAGTATAACATGTTTGTTACCCTTGTGGTAGGGAAACCTGATTCTTTGTTTCCCTGAAATTAATTAATCATGTTACACTCAGATTCTGCCCTCGTAAAACTTGGTTAATTTGTTATCTTGCGGAAGCAAAGAACCCTGTTTCACCAAGATACTTCTACCAAGGCAATAATAAAGGGGCCGCGGTGGTTAAGGCGTCTGACATTCTGATACCACTTTTAAGCCCTCCACCACTAGGTCGCCGGTTCGAGACCTACGTGGGGCAGTCGCTAGGTACTGGCCGAAGGTCAGTGGTTTTTCTCCGAGAACTCCAGCTTTCCTCAACCACCAAAACCTGGTACGTCCTTACAGGACCAAAGCTGTATATAGGACGTAAAACACAAACAAACCCAAACCAAGGCAATAGATATTTTTATTTTACCGAAATAGAACCATGACACAACAGTTATGACGATTAGGCCTATACTACAATGTTGTGAGTATCAGTCACTTGGAACGTAAGTCTGGTGCCTCGTGCTCATTTGTCTCAGAATGCTTCAGAAAAGAGAAATTATGTGAATGGAGAAAATAGAGCATGAGAAGGAAACTCAATGTTTTATTTCCCCATCATGTGATCAATATTGAATAAAATCAGATACATGTAGATAAGGTATAGTACCTGGTAACACTGCATAACATATTTTTTTACGTGGGCTGAACATTTCGTGATTTTTACTCAAAATGAAAGAATTTAATTTACTAGGATTATGTTATCACCATCAGATGATCTAAACATGCAAAGGAACTAAATTTTCGCAGTGTTTTAGCACAGAGATGAAAAACTCGGCAAAAGTGATTTAAGACGTTTAGAGATTTAGAAATTTTCGTTGTAATTTGTTTAATCAATAAGAGTTTGTACGTCTGAACCCAGAAGTCAATGTGTGTTGTTATATTTTAGACTGCCCATTTTAAGTGACCGCAGTTCGTATAGAGGTAGCCGACGAGTGACCAAATTAAATTCTGTGTAAGATGAATGCACATCTGCTGGTGTTTTTTTATTTTGCAGTTTTGGAACTTAACCCATCAGGTGTTTTTAATTAACTTAAAAATTATTGAGGTACATTTTGGAACTGTAGTCTGTTCTGTTAGTTTTTGGGTTGTGAAAAAGATCTATGTATAATTCATGATCGCAATGTATTAGATAACACCTACTGTATAACACTTCCAGCAATGCAAGAATGTGAAAATTTCTAAACAATTAGTTTTAAAGTCATTAAAAAAGGTGACAAAATTAAGTCACTATTACAGTGGGTAACATAATTAAGTCACAATTATAGTGGGTAACAGATTTGAGTCACAATTAAAGTGGGTAACAGAATTAAGTCACTATTATAGTGGGTAACAGAGTTAAGTCACAATCGCAATGGGTAACATAATTAAGTCACTATTCGAGTGGGTAACATAATTAAGTCACAATCGCAGTGGATAACATAATTAAGTCACAATTATAGTGGGAAACAGAATTAAGTCACAATTATAGTGGGTAACATTATTAAGTCACAATCGCAATGGGTAACATAATTAAGTCACAATTATAGTTGGTAACAGAATTAAGTCACAATTATAGTGGGTAACAGATTTGAGTCACAATTAAAGTGGGTAACAGAATTAAGTCACTATTATAGTGGGTAACATAATTAAGTCCCTATTCGAGTGGGTAACAGAATTAAGTCATAATTGCAGTTGGTAACAGAGTTAATTCACAATTAAAGTGGGTAACAGAGTTAAGTCACAATTATAGGGGGTAACAGAGTTAAGTCACAATTATAGTGGTTAACATAATTAAGTCACTATTCGAGTGGGTAACATAATTAAGTCACAATCGCAATGGGTAACATAATTAAGTCACTATTCGAGTGGGTAACAGAATTAGGTCATAATTGCAGTGGGTAACATAATTAAGTCACAATCGCAGTGGATAACATAATTAAGTCACAATTATAGCGGGTAACATAATTAAGTCACTATTCGAGTGGGTAACAGAATTAAGTCATATTTGCAGTGGGTAACAGAGTTAAGTCACAATTAAAGTGGGTAACAGAGTTAAGTCACAATTATAGTGGTTAACATAATTAAGTCACTATTCGAGTGGGTAACATAATTAAGTCACAATCGCAATGGGTAACATAATTAAGTCACAATTATAGTGGGAAACAGAATTAAGTCACAATTATAGTGGGTAACAGAATTAAGTCACTATTATAGTGGGTAACATAATTAAGTCACAATCGCAGTGGGTAACCTAATTAAGTCACAATTATAGTGGGTAACAGAATTAAGTCAAAATTATAGTGGGTAGCAGAGTTAAGGCACAATTATAGTGGGTAACAGAGTTAAGTCGGTAACATAATTAAGTCACTATTATAGTGGGTAACAGAGTTAAGTCACTATTATAGTGGGTAAAATAATTAAGTCACTATTCGAGTGGGTAACATAATTAAGTCACAATCGCAATGGGTAACATAATTAAGTCACTATTCGAGTGGGTAACATAATTAAGTCACAATCGCAATGGGTAACATAATTAAGTCACTATTCGAGTGGGTAACAGTTAAGTCACTATTATAGTGGGTAACATAGTTAAGTCACTATTCGAGTGGGTAACAGAATTAAGTAATAATTGCAGTGGGTAACATAATTAAGTCACAATTATAGTGGGAAACAGAATTAAGTCACAATTATAGTGGGTAACAGATTTGAGTCACAATTAAAGTGGGTAACAGAATTAAGTCACTATTATAGTGGGTAACAGAGTTAAGTCACAATTATAGGGGGTAACAGAGTTAAGTCACAATTATAGTGGTTAACATAATTAAGTCACTATTCGAGTGGGTAACATAATTAAGTCACAATCGCAATGGGTAACATAATTAAGTCACTATTCGAGTGGGTAACAGAATTAAGTCATAATTGCAGTGGGTAACAGAGTTAATTCACAATTAAAGTGGGTAACAGAGTTAAGTCACAATTATAGTGGGTAACATAATTAAGTCACTATTCGAGTGGGTAACAGAATTAAGTCATAATTGCAGTGGGTAACATAATTAAGTCACAATTATAGTGGGTAACAAAATTAAGTCACTATTCGAGTGGGAAACAGAATTAAGTCACAATTAAATCCAGTGGGTCACAAAATTGAGTCACAATTCAAGTGAGTAACAATTAAAATGGGAATATTACATGATGGAAATATTTGATTTGAATTGAATTGTAGTTTAACACACAGTATGGCATATATATAGCATATTTAAGTGTTTATTCATATTTATAATTTAACATTAAAATTCTAGTTTAGTAACCTAACTATATTGTAGTATTGATCAGAATGTGTATTATTGTAGCATCAATAAGGATATTTTTTTTCGGATGATGAACTTTATAGTTTCAATAATGCATGGAAATTGAAACGATAGCTTGCATGCATATAAGATAATTCACGAATGCAGATTGTACTAATGGAGTATGGTTTTGAGTTGAAATGATGAGTTTGTCTACAGTATATATCGTTGCTCTATGTTGCTCTATTTCAGAGTTGAATGAGCTTGTATCATATTATATCCAATATATATATTCCCATTGATTTTTGCCGAAAAACATTTTTTTTCGATATCAGCTCAATTTCATCCTCATCACTAACTCTTCTCCGTTGCTGCATGAAATGAAGTGTTTTGTGAAGAATGATTATGTATGTTTATCGTCGTAAGAATTATTTCAAGTTTATAACGTGATGGTGTAACAATTAACGATACTAAGGCTGACAGACTGCTGTAGTTATACAATTGTACAAGCATGATAATTTGTGAGAGTTAATGGGCTATGTTTAATACAAATTATATAAATCCGTGAACCTGGTTTGTTCGAGTTTCCTCTGTCCCTGACACCAAACTTAGACATTTTAACACATAGATGTCTGGTATCTGTCAAAATGTAGAAGTGTTAGGCCGGGGCAGAGGAACTCGGACTAGGATCTGCTATACAAATTTTGTGTTTTTCAGCAATGAGAATATATTTTTTTCAATATTTTTCACAATTTTTCTTGATAGTTTAATAATTTGATTTTATAATTTTTCAATATTTCTCTGCATATTCACCTTTTTATGATTTCATAGAGAAGCAACATGATCAATGTCTCTGATCTGTAGGTAATAAATATGTTTTAGAAAAATATTGATGCAACGCTATGTGTATACATATAAAATGTCAGACCAATATTTGGCCCATGTTTGAACATCATTGTGATAATATAATGTACAATATGGGAATTTCTTATTACATCAAAATATGTGACATTTTTACATTGTACTAATTAATATATATATATGTAATATATATGATATGCTGGCCGTGAAATGTGTACCGTTTGTGACATTGTACAATACCTGTAACATAAACAATATGTAACAAATGTACGTTTTATTTGTCACATAATATGTCCATGTGTATATTTGATATATATATACAACACAGATGATATTCTCCTTTGATAAAAATGTTATGTAAACGTTTCAGATCTGCTCCTTTAAGAGCCGGTGGGTAAGCAGGCTATATATATATATGTCTGTATTGGGTGTTTGAGGGAATTAAAAACTAGAAGCTCTCTCCGAAATATTTCACCTTAATCATTACAGGACATGATCATTACCCTATGTCATGATATCTTGTATGCACCTCAGATATTTAGCTCTTTGTAACACCTTTTAAAAGAATGTTAAACTGTCCTGATTTTTTTTTTTTATTAAAAATTTCTTAAAAAAAAAATGAAATATCTCCTTGTGAAAGGTAAAGTTATCAGTTCCAAAACAAGTAAAAAAAGGTCACACAGATTCTAACAATTATTGTTGTAAGGTTATGTTATTACCAAGTACCTGCAGGATCTTTTGATCACAAGACTATGAAATGTACGTGCCCTCTTGTCCTTGTCAATTATGTGAGTGGATAGATAGATTATATCAACTTATATTACTGAGCTCAGCCTTTCCCAATTAGCTTCAGTTAAGATATCTTGTCAACTAAGCTATGCTTTCCCTGATCGAAAATTTCAGCCAATGAAACATAAATAAGATCTTCAATACGATTCTTCAGTTTGGAAATATATTGTAATATCAAAGTTTTACTTATAAATACTCAAACGATTTACCAACTGGTCCCTTTATCAAGTGTACATATATATGTAGCTTGACAAAGGGACCAGTCGGTCTCGAAACGTTGTGACATGTTTAATACTTACATAGTTTATGTATTACTAGTAAGTAGAACTTTGATATCACAAGTAAGATGTTTTAAGAAACTTAAGCCCTATGATAGACCAGGTTGTGATGTAAGGGGAAATGATTCGGAGACGGAGTCCTCTATAAATTAAGAACAAATAAATGTTCAGTTTAATAATTTTGTCTGTACTGTCTAAAAATAATTTCACTAAGGTTTTGGTAACAACGACCTGTGTTGGTGGCTTATTTATGTGTCAACAGGCCAAAATAATAGCAAAGAAGTTTTGTTTGTATGGTGTAAGATGCTTTTCAGCTATTAAATACATACATGTATCGGACGAAACCAGCTAGCTTGAGGGTAATAAAAGCAGCCATAACAACTAAGCATGGGAAGTCCCTCGGTACAGCTTCGTATTTGCACAGTGTCAAGTGTGCGAATGATTGTCTGTGTTCTGAAAGGGGTTGGACATTTTCTTTTTTTGAATTATTGAAAAAATGCTTAGCTTTATTTGGTTATTGTGTCACCTGCAACGCGAGGCGACATATATGGAATTACTTTGTCGGCAGCAGCTTCTGTTGTGTCGTCCGAAACAAGGTTTCCGTGCGATAACTTGAGTTCCCTTCGGATGATTGAACTCAAACTTGGTGCACATATTGAATACCAATATAGCTCGTACAACTTTGCATTTCAGTAGGTTACATGCATTTTTGGTGGAGTTATGCCCCTTTTATTGCCAAATAAGGGCATTGCGTAGTAAATGCAAGATCTTTTTTTTTATTTTCTAATCAATTCCTTTCAATTTTGTACGGTAATGCTAAAAGCAATAATGTTCAACATGTATTACAGGTTTTTCTGTCGAGTTTCAACTTTCTGTGTTTTGGCATATCTGTTTTTCGCAATAATTCAAGCCAAAACACTTTTCTTATTTAAGAAAGTTAAGACTGTTCGCAATGTTAGGTACTCTATATTAGGAGTATCAGTGATATAACTTCTGTATATATATAGGTATGTGTTGTTGGTTTCTGCGATATATATGAAATATTGAGACACTTATATGAGTACATGTATATATCAGGTTGTTAATGTTGTATTATACACACACATACTTATAATTATATGAATATGTTTTTATATGGTAAAAAAACAAAACATTCAATTTGCGACAAACAGCAGAATTAAGAAATCTTTGTTATAATATTTAAAAAATTCATCTAATTTTAACGTCATATGTAAATTTGTTTATTTGCTGTCGTCAGGTATAGTTTGAAACACACAAACCAACACATGAAGTTTTCTTTCTAATTTTGAAAATATCAAAGTACGATGACAAACCTTTTTCTATTAACTACAAGACTGTAATGATGGTTTAACTCATTCACCCCTGAGGACACATGTGAACTCTTCCGGTTCAAAGTTTGGAATAGTTAATTATGAAATTTCAGGGGTGAATGAGTTTAAAACACAAACAAGTATATCAATGTTGCTATTGTAACAATGCAATATACATAACACCACCTGGTCATGTTAATTACCCACTTGCACATTTGAGTTTTGATATTCAACATTACAGAAAACTCTGTTCTGTTGAAAAAAAAAGTCAAGTACAAATTGTACTACATGTATTAAGAGAAGTGTGTGAATTTTGCCTTTATCTAAATACTTGGGAATATTTTTACAGAAGAACCTCGGCCTCCAATAGTGTTTTGTCGTGGAAGGTCAATCCCTACCCGGAACCCCCGCCTTCCGAATACGTTACATTTAAGATGAATGAGGAACGCAAAATTGCCAAAGTAAAAGACCTCCGTGAGAAAACAGATGCCATTATACAGAGAAGAAAGTAAGTGTTAGGAAGTGTTGGAATTCTTTTTCCTGTAAAATGACACCAAATAGTTAATCAGTTTTAGGATCTATCTCAGAAATACTTCTAGTAATTTTTACTTATTTTTATGGAGTTATCCCCCTTTTTTCTAAAAAAACCCCATTGTTTGCATAATACCTTCTCCTGACCAATTTTAATTGTACTTGGTAGATGGAACCCCTTACTTCGAGGGGTTGTGATGAAAGTATATATAAATTGGAGTTATTTCCCCTGTTTAAATTGGAGTTACTTCCCCTGTTTATGGAAGGACATTTCATGTATTTCCCTTTGTTTTAAAACATTGTTCACGCTAATCCTCCTTTGTTAGATGTTATATACAGGCCCTGAAAAGGCCCTTTAATCAAAGGGTTGGCTTTTATTATGAAAAGGCATAAAATTGATATAAAATCCCCTTAAAGCCCCTCAAAGGGTAACACAAATGTATTAAACTATGAAAAATTAGCCTTGAATCAGACCAAAGGATCATTTTTACTATGGTTGTGGTATTATATCTCATCTAGCAACTACATTTCTAAACAGAGCTTGATCAAACTTCATAAAATGGCAAAGTTTGAGTTTTCTTCAAATGAGGTCATATTTCAGGGTTCCACCGTCAAGGTCAAAATCAACATTACTATTTATAGAAGTTTCCCAAACAATGACACTAAATTTCTAGGAAATTTGGGCATTCATGTCTAACAGATATTTTCTGGTTTATTTATGACCTGTCTTTGCTTTACATTATTTTATCTCCAATGTTACTCCATGTACAAATCATACAATGCTTAGTGCAAAAAATGTTACATAATGATAGGGTATTGTACTGAGCAGACGGTCACTCATCCAGCTACTGACCATGCTCGATGTTGCTGAACTTAGTGAATGGGTCCCCGAGTTTACTGCATCACTAGCTTGCCAGTAAGGCAATATTTCCCCCTCAAATTCCTTAGCTGTTATGCTATCCTCCCTCCGAGAAGTCTTGTCCCCCGAGACTTGCATGAATTGGCCTGGGAAATCATGTGGGTCCTCCCTGTAATATACCAATGCACCTTCCCTAACCACCGGGAACTAGCCTTACATGATCACAGAGTCACTATGCTGCCACCAAATGTAACATGTCACCCATCCAACGACTGACCATGCTTAATGTTGCTGAACTAGTTCACTGGAAAAGCTAGCTTGCCAGTAAAGCAGGATTTTCCCTGAAATTCCTCAGTACTATATCTGATACACAATATTACATAATGACATTATATATATATGATTGATGTATGGTATTCATGATTGAGTGAATGATTTTTTTTCCCGCAGAGATGAAGAATTATTAAAGGAGTGGCGACATGAAACAAAAAAACTACAACAAAAACGATATTTTGACAGTTTACGTCGTGGAACAAAAGGTATAATGAATTTAATTTTTACGTAGAAACTTGTCAGTCTTAGCTATTTATGTACAGGTACATGAACAAAAATATAAAAAGATCACCACTTCTCTTTTTTTTACGCTATAGGAATGTATCTAAAGAAAATAAATTTGTAATCAAAATTTTTGATATTCTTTACCTGAACAAGAAATATTCATAGAAAAACAAGATCATCAGAATGTTATTTTCCGGGATCTGTTTTTGTCAACTTTTGAAAAAAAATAGTGATCAATGGTTTATGAAGAAATTTTAAATCAATTCAAGAAAATTGATATTAAATTCAACACATTTTCCCATCCTTTTATTAAACTACGCATTTAGAGAAATAAACACATTTTATCTTTTTCTAAATGTCTTTTTGTTTCAGATTTTGTTGACCCTGTGGAGAAGGCACCTTTTGATGTCGATAAAAACCATATGAAGATGCCTACTAATGAAGAAAGAATCAAAGTAAGCATTCATTTAAGAAAAAATCTGTTTCAAGTAGATTAGAGTTAATTTTCAAACGATTTGCGTGAATTGTGTTTTATTTGTTCACACTTGTTAAGAGCCCTGACTTTTTACTTACAGCAAGATGTCAAAAATGCTCATGAGCGAATCAGACGGGCATTGTCTCCGACCAGCAGACAGAAAATTGAGGATGAAAAGTAAGTAATGGTCAAGTTAGTTTCACACAGAAAAATATGTTGAAAGATAATTATTAAGAAATAATCAATAATAATAATGAGTGCATGTATTTTGGTAGTATATATTTAATATTTAAGCATTGAGATTATTTTGTTTTAAATTTCATGCGAGTATGAACAAATTTTATTTTTATTTTTTTTAAGCTCTGTTGTAAATTTAAGTACGGTAAATAATCCTCAATTATCCCCTCGCAACGAAAGTTTGAGAGGATATAGGATTCGGCCCCTGCGCATGTTACACTCTTTGTCATCGCACTAGCAACTTCATTTCTCAACAGAATTTCATGAAACTTCAAACAAGTGTTAAGTATGGCATTGCCTTGAAAAAGTTGGCGTTTTGGGCTTCTACATTGAAGGTCAAGGTCACTAGTACTATTTTAGAAAAACCTTTGTCATCACTCTAATGCCTTTATTACCGAACGGAATTTCATGACACTTCATACAAGTGTTTAGAATGACAATACCTTGAACAGGTTCGCATTTCGGTTTTTCTACGTTGAAGGTCAAGGTCACTCTTACTATTTTAAGAAAATTTTGTCATCGCTCTACCGACTTCATTCCTTAACAGAGTGTTTGCCATGACCAATACCTTCAACACATTCGTGCAGAAATATTTTTGCTGTCATATTTTACATATGTCACACAATGTATGATGCGAGCGGAGTTGTATATCTTGTGATGACTTGTTAAAGTTTTAAAACTGCTGAGAAAATATAACATGACAAGAAAATTATTTAAAACTCAGGAGGCACAGTAGTCTAGTAGTAGGACCCCGGGCTCGTGACCGAAGGGTTGTGGGTTCGAGTCACGGCACGGCACTGTGTTGTATCTTTGAGTAAGATACTTTACTCCGCTTGTTCTGGTCTACTTAGCTGTAAATGAGTACGTGGTTGGGCAGTGCTAGAATTGTTGAATGCTAGCTGTTAGTGCCGAAATGGCAGCATCTGCCGTATGCTCCCCAGGGAGTTGAGAAAGGTATTGGCTTGTTGCAAAGGCCCTATAACCACGGATAATAATTTGTGAACTGCTTTGAAACGACCTACAAACTAGGTTGTGATAAAGCGGTATATAAGAACCTCAAATTATTATCATTAAAAACTGCTTTTGATAATGACATTTAATCATCTCTGCAGAAAAGCAGTAATCGTGTTTCTTTCTGTGTTTAGATCAGCTCGTATTCGGGAATTGGAAAGGCGTATCAAACAGCACACCTCACAGATGCATGATCGACGAAAGCAACCAAAGGGCAGTCCCCAGGAAGAAATGGAGGCTGCTAAACGGGAACTTGACGTTGTATGTATATATATATATATACATTTACTGTTACAAAATATCATCTACTGGTATATATGTGTGAAATCAGTACTTGTAGGTTCAGTAAAGTATATAACCAAAACTTTCTATTTCAGATTGAGTGAACACATTTAAAACTTGAAATCTTACTGATCCAAATAGTTTTTGTGTAATTTTGATTGGATTAAATCATTTTAAGGACAATGGCCATGTTAGTTTAGTTGGTTTAACACTAAGTTTTGGTAATCTTTCCATTATTTTACAAGTTTATGTACTGAGACAAGGTTATATACAGATCATTCTACATTGTCATTTCTACAGTCAACCATTACCACTGCATATTTTTTCAGTGCCAATTAAAAAATATTGCCACAAATAAATTGAGCAATGTTAGTAGTTTAAACAAGCTTTATTTGTCATTACAAGTTGATTGGAAGGCAAGCCATAGTCCCAATGGAACCAATTATTAATAAATTCATTGAATAAGATTTGTTTCTGCAATAATCAATATCTGAGTATACATTTGACTCGGAACATGAAATTAAATAATAGACATGAAATTAAAAACGTAAAATTTTATATGGTATTTTTGATACAGGTAACATGAATGATTGAATAAAAGTAGTTTTTGGTAAAAAAGGGATTTGCAATCTTTAAAATCCCAGTTTTTATGCAGAAAAGATTCAATATTCCCATTTGATTATGTATGCAACAGATTCTGCTCAATTCCAGATCCAAATACTTGCCCACTCTCCCTATTTTGGAGGGAGACTCCCAATTTTGGACCCTTGAATTGAGTTTTTTCAACCAGTAAATATGCTAAACTATTCCTATTTTCTAAGATCTGATAATTTCATCTGAAAGAACTATGAAAAAAGCCATTCAAAAGTGTATGTATTTTTCCCTATGGTGGTACATACATATTCACATTTTACTTATGCTTTTGATTCTGAGCATACTAAGTCTCCCCTATTGAAATTAAAAAAAAAAATTGGTAAGGATCCCTGGCCATTTCTAAACTCTCCCTGTTTGAACATGAATTTTAATCTATTGTTGGTAGTGCCTGATTATTGTTTTATGCACATTGTCACATGACCACAGTCAAGCATATTAATTTGTTTGTCAGTAAATTATAACACTGGAGCTATTTTGTATCACAGGGTACCGGTACCATGGTAACAGCTCTATAAACCTGACATTTTGTATGCGACTTCAATCTTGGATTCTACCTGAATATAGTCGGGGGAATTGTGGGAAGTGATGATAAATGTGGTTCTTAACTTAAGAAAACGAATATACTTACGATATCTCATTGAGTTGAGATCTGCTGTAGCCAGCACGCGTAGCAGACGGTCAGATAGGCATGGGCAGGATTTACTGCCTACGATGTGCAACGAGCAAAAAAAAAAAGGACAAATATGCAATTTGTTTTCATTTCAGTTTGAACATCAAAAACAAAGATGTGAAGAAAACACCTGTGTTTGACTGATTGTTTTCTTCTGAGAGTATTGTAGTTATTTATTTGTCTCTGTCCAGGTGAAATCACTTCAGAAAGACTTGATGAAGCGATACCAGGATCTGAAGACCTGGACCACAGGTTTAAAGTCGTTCCTTATCGTACTAGATATCTGTGCTTGCTAGTTTATCAATTGTTGTTAACCACAGAACTCTTTAATTATTTTAACTTTTTTTTCTTCTTAGAAATTTTTGTCACAGGGGCGGATCCATGGGGGGTCTGGTAAGGTCTTCATAATTTCCTCAGTCAACTAATGTTTCAAAAATAAAAAAGAATGTTTCTGATGTTTGGAAAATAAAACATTTTAAAATCTGTATGTAATTCCCCATGATTACCGCTGAAGCCTACCCTGGTCGAACCCAGGTTCCGCCGCTGTTTCATCCTAATATAATTACATATAACCAGAGACTTTTGTAAAAAAAAAAAGCAAATGTATGGAATTATGAACTGAAATTGTGATTCGATAAAAAAACTAATTTACATCAGGCCTGCAAATATGTTATTTTTCAGCTTTTATATACTATTTTTGTATGAAATTAGCATGTTTCATTTGAAAATTAGATCCAAAAAATCATTTCAAAACATTTTCAATTAGAATGTGTTAGTTTGCAGAAATCTCTGATTACTTACTTTTTAATTTCATGCACGTGACAGCAAGATGTTGTACCTATAGGCATATGAATGGATTTTGTAACAACATGGCTCTCATTAGAAATGATTTTTAACAGTGCTATATTGTTTAGATATTCCTTGGACCTTACTTTGATCTTTGCATGCTTTGTCTTCAGATAAGATTTTTCTGTGATTTGTTCTAGATCTAAGGCATGACCTTAGTAATTAATTATTTCTTGATTGTTCTGACTGCAGTACATTTCTTCTAAATGCATGAGCAATTGTTTCTTCATCAAATTCATTTCCATTTTCATTCATTTTTGTTTGTAAACTTTTCATTTCATCATCATATCATGAAAATGAGATGGTTAAAAAAAAAAAAAAAAAAAAATTTTTCGTAAATTTTNCTGCATGCTTTCTCAAGGTAACTTTACCATTTATACTTAATCTAGATATATTTATAAACCTGCCTATAGGAGAATTTTGTGTATTAGATACTATACATATAAAATCTTACACAAAATTAGGAAGATGGAGTATACATAGTTTGTAGTCCTGAATGAGGGATATATATATGACTAAACATTTGTATATCAATGATCAATAACGAGCAATATCAATTAATAAATTCATAAATACATCTGGAAACATAGCTGAAAGATTACTAATTCATATTTTAACAATGCATTAACCATATTAATCTCAGACAGTTATTACCTATATATCATGATCTTGGAAAGTAGTCTTGCAGAAAACTGGATTGCTTTTTATAATAACTTCTTTCAATTAAAAAATTGTATAAATTTCATATAACCAGAAACACAGTTTAATAATGAATGTCAAAAGGTTAATGTTTAACCCTTTCACCACTGTAGACCATAATGGACTCATCCATATCAATGCATGGTAGAGTCTACTAAAGTTACATAGGGGTGGAAGGGTTAAGTCTCTTAATTTTTACTTGGTAATTTTTTCTGGTAGTATTTGAATTAAAATCACAAAACTTACAATGAGTACCAGAACAGGTGAAAGTTTCATGAGGAAGCTTTTTATTAAAAGTATTTTTCCTGTAATAACAAGTTGCTTGGTGGAAACTGTGTTCATAATTGGCATGGGTTGGTTCTGGTATATTTGTCGCTTGTTGGTTCAGGAAAATGCATGCGAAGAATTTAAGAGTGAGGTGAAGTATATTCGTGTGTGCTTGCTGAGAATAAAGTGCTGATGAAAATTATAGAGACATGACATACCTTTAAAAACCTCCATGTAATAGAAAAAATATATTTCTTGTACAACTTCATTCAGCCTTGCTAAAAACGATATTTTACTTTCTGTTAACAACTGGTTTAGAAAGAATTACTTTCATTTTACATGTTAACCTGTTACGTCTTTGCGTATTGCAGAGTTATCTTCTCTTGTGAGCAGGTAATGATTGTTACGTCATTGGTTTGTGAGAGTAACGTCATCAATTTTTGAGAGAAAAAAAGTAATTTTCTCACATAAACCAATGACGTAACAATCAATACCTGCTCACAAGAGAAGATAACTCTGCAATACGCAAAGACGGAATATATATATATAATTGATGAACCAGTTTTAAAAATGTTATGTAATATATAAAGAGTTAAAAAGAAATCGACCACGATATCAATGTATAATTATCACAAGACCATTTGGGGGTTAATAAAGGATAGTTTTGAAAACGTTATAAACGTTAATTTTCTTCAGATAAAACTCAAATATTTTGTAGAACGGTGCTGCTGAATTCATCAATCCGAATTTTTTCGGATTCAAATTTGATTTTTATCTGATATTAATATCATCGTTCCGATCCTCAAAATCATGTTACATAAGGTATAATACTGTGTCATTTTCAGGAAAGCGTAAGAAACGGCTTCATTCAAGTTAGTAGAAAATCAAATCAATAATCCTCTACTTTTCTCTCTCTGATGCTCATTGAAATATTGGATAAACATGGTTCAGTTTTCAAATTCTAAAAGGGAAATCTTTAAATGCTTGAGATTTTCCCCTTCTCATTTCTTGTTATTTTCTAAATTTCAAAATACCTCGCTATGGTTACAGCACACTAGCTGATAAATCTCTTGTCTGGTCTGTTTCCCTGTGAAATAATATATTCCTCCCACGGGAGTAACACTGGAGGGGGCTGTAGATTTACACTCGTCCTTTTGTTTTTCAGTCTGAGTGTCCCTTCGTTTTGGAAATTTCTTAAATACTTTTTCAACTACATTTACCATATTTGGTATGGTAGATCCTTGTTGGATGAGGAAGTATCATGTACTAAAATTCAATTCCCTGCCCTACTACATACAGATATACTCCACAAAGAAAGTAAAAGGGGATAAAAGATTCTGCCTGTACTTAAACATGTACAGAAATTTGGGTCCTTCCTCACAATATACTGAGTTAAGGCCCTTTGTTCATTTTCGATACAATGGTTTTGTCTGGGACAATGGATTGCTTGCAGTTTTCTGCCTTGTTGTTGCTGGGGGAGAGTTAAACTATATTTCCCTAATTCTGCAATGGTTTGAATATCTGTCAGTATTTTGGTTGTCTGGGCTGTGACTCCTAAATTGCTGATTATAATCTGATAAAAATACAAACACTCATCTCGATTCATTCATTCTTTCTTTATTGGAGCAAGTGTACATCTTTTTTGATAACAAAGAACAACTATTGTTCCGTGCTATCTCTCTGCCACCTGTTGTTGGTCTTCTGAAGTTTCATGTACATAATATCTTGGTGAAATTTGCAAGAGATTGAAATTAGTTTGGAGTGTAGAATCGTATTGATTCTTAAATATTTATTTGTAAATTAGATCATTGGCACACTGTCACATGAATGTTCAGTAACATACTTATCTTCACTTTTTATCACCTTAACTTCACCAGATACTCTACAGTGATAACAGTAAGGTCCAACAGTTATACACTTATAGTTCATGCCCTGCTATAAAGAATAAGACAGACATCAGCTTTGTTTCTTCACTGCAGTGACGCAGCTGTTTGGAATTTGAAATAAAGGCTAATAATTATTAAATTAAACTATGGTACAAGGGGAAGTTATGTGGAAAGCTTAAAACAAAATGAGGGTGAATCTGAAATAGATGTTAAAGAGTCTTGTTGAGATTTTTATTGTTTATAATAAGTTATACTGACCCCTTGAATTGAAAAAAAATCTTGTTTTGTTTTAAACATGGAGTCGGCATTCCATGCAAGTATTTCATACATGTACATTGTATTTCATACATGTTCATTGTATTTCATACATGTTTTAGTTCAAATGTAAATGTAACCAGCCTAGCTATTGTGATTTGGAAGGAAAACAATTTGTTTCTTAACCCTTTCAGCACTGTAGACCATAATGGACTTATCCAAATCAATGCATGGTAAAGTTTATTAAAGTTACCTAGGGGTGAAGGGTTAACAAATAAAAGACATAATATTTCACTAAACATAAAAACAATCCTTTGCTTGAACATTATTGTAGATTGTATTAATTTGTCAAAAGTAAAATAGCTGCCATTTCAACCACAAGCGGTGGCCGAATGGTTAAGGCATTTTACATACTGCTACCGCTAGCCCTCCACCACTGGGTCGCAGGTTTGAGGCCTACGTGGGGCAGTCGCCAGGTACTGGCCACAGGTTGGTGGTTTTCTTCAGGTACTCGGGCACATTCTTAAATGACCATAGCTGTTAATAGGAAGTAAAACAAAAACAAACCAAACCAAAAACTCAATCACATTGTGGAAATTTCATGAAACTTTGTTTGCAGAAAAAACACTGTAACATTGACTTCTCCATAGCTGAAACTAAATTCAGAGAAACAGAAATTGTTTGAAAAGCAACAAATTTGAACGTCTCAGGTGGTTATAACCCCCAACACTTGAAAGTAGACATTGTCTCCTCTTCATATTAGAGGAGTCGCTGACTCTAAGACTTGCCACATGATAAATTTTGAAATTCTAAAATCACGGCCAGTTCCAAAAACAAAGAACTAGTGATCTTAAGTTGTCTCTACTTCAGACCATTTAATTCCATACAATGAAATGCAGGTTATGTCTTTAAAAGCCTATTGGAAAATAAAAAATATTTTTGCTAATTTAGATAAATTCATATTAAAAGAGCCAAAATTAAATGATTGATAGTTCTCATAAAATTTAAAACCCTAATGTAATGACTCATAAATTTTGATATATAATAAATGGCCCCCCCACCTCCACCTCCCAAAAAAAATAAAAAAAAATAAAAATAAAAGGTTAATTTGGCAATAATTCTCGAAGTATAATGCACCAGTATGTTGCTTGTAATTTTTTTTGATATAAATATGTAACTTAGAGACTGAATATTTTTGTGTGCAAGTTGTGCAAGCACATGCAAACACACAATGCCTGCGTGAATTTCATCGTTTGTTACTAGCATTCGGACTTCAGAAATGTGTTAATATATACATCA